AATTGTTCAGTGCTCAGTTTTCCTTATGGTCCAACTCTTGTAGCCATACCTTCAACTGGGAAAACCATAGCTTGGACTATTTTTTTTAATTTATTTTTCAATTTATATCCTGCTTTTTTCCTACAAAGGGCTCAAGGCAGCTTACATCATTCTCCTCCTTCTTATCCCCACAACAACAACCCTGTGAGGTAGGTTGGGCTGAGGGTCTGTGACTGGCCCAAAGTCACCCAGTTGGCTCCATGGCCGAGCGGGGACTAGAACCCAGATTGTCTGAGTCCCAGTCCCAGGGTCTTAACCACTACACCACACTGGCTCTCTTCATAGTCAGCAGGGTGATCTTTGCTTTTTAGTATGCTGTCTAAATTTGCCATAGATTTCCTTCCGGGGAGCAAGCGTCTTTTAATTTCTTGATTGCAGTCACCATCTGTGGTGATTTTGGAGCCCAAGAAAACAAAATCTGTCACTACCTCCAGTTCTTCATGTATTTTCCAGGAAGGTTTTTTTTTTTTTTTTTTTTTAATCCCAAGGCTACTTCTCCCAAATTTGATTGTGGCAGAAAGCAACAATTTGCTTCTGATTTTTGGTGGAAATCTAACAAGCCAAATCTAGCAGTTTTATCCTTCTGTAGTGCTTTGTTGCCAAAATTCAGTGCAAACTGCCAATTATTTTTCCTCCATTAAACTTTTGGTGGAGCAAGAGCCACACTAGAATATGGAAAGGGGCCACATTTACTCCTCTGGACTTGCTATGTGTATTTGCTCAGAAGTTGAGTCTCAGTTCAACAAGGCATAAGCACACTTATCTGGGAACAGATTTGTAGCCTATATTATAGCCTTTTCTTGTTATAGGATATTGATAATTGCATTCTTTCAGCATGGCTTTGCAACCACTGCAGTGGACAGATGACATGATGATACACCTCCATTACAACATGTAGCTAACTACTTTGGTATATCAAACCCCTGAAAGCCACAGGAATAATTTTTAGGAAAAAAAATCAGTGAAAGAATTAGGTCTCTTAAAGCCTATTCAAGGCTTTTATTGCTTGAAAAGATTGTTATGTTTCACTGACCTCTGTCCCACTAGCAGTGTTGTTTGCAGCAGTTAGCACATTATGATATTTATTTGTATGCTATAAAGATTCTGTAAATCAACCATTGCCTTAAAAGAACAGGGACAGGTAACTCTATGGTTTTTTTCTGGACATTTGACATCCTTGCCCTGAAAAGACCCTTACTTTCTTGTTTTATTCCTTCTAAGTAAACAGTCCTCCATCTGTTCCCCACCCCCCCACCAAATCTACTGACCATTTCCTAATACCTAAGACCAGTTGCACAGCTTAGTTTTATGAACGTGTTCATGTTCTCAACTAGCTTTCTTCCACTTTGCTAGCTATGTGCATGGGGAATATTTTATGTGATTAAATGTTTTAAGTTACAGTCTTTCTACTGCATTCTGAAGTGGTTTAGAAATTTGCTGTATGTTTTTTTCTGACATTGGAGATTGGCCACACAATATAGAGAATGTTGTGCTTTGCTGCCATGTACCTGTTATGCTTTTGTGATGTTTAAGTACAAGTAGACCTTAGTTTTCTGTTCTAGCTGTCTAGAAGTTGGGAATAGAAGTGCTATTGGCATACTGAAATGCTCTGGATTTTTAAAAAACGTGGTTTGTTTATGAATTTTTTTTTTTAATGGCTTATATGCAAGTTTGTTCGATGTTGTAAGCCGCCCCGAGGCCTTGGCAAGGGGCGGCATAGAAATGTTTTAATAAATAAAATAAAAAATAAATAAGTTTGTTAAGTGTGGCTCTTTCAAGTCTTAACTATGTTTCTACCAAAATGCACACCCAAAGGATGCACAAATCTATAATTAAATATAAAGACTAGCACCTTTAAACAAAGGCTGGGAAACAAACTGGTTGTTAAGACTGATAAAAAGAATCTTGGTGTGAGAGAACTGGATGCATGTAGAGTATTATGTACCAGCTTTATAGGTGATGAAGCATTAGGCTGTTCAAATCAGGAAAATAGTAGTCATATTACTTTCAGGAATCTTGATCTACACAATTTTATTTATAGTAAAGTGATAATCTAGGTGGGTTGTGAAGTTTTGTAGGCCTTAAATGAGTTGTGGCTGCCATGAACCCTTATTCTTCCATCATTTGCAGGGGCTCTGTGATGGGGAGAGTCACTTGCTTGTTTTGTGCCAGGTTTTGAGAAAATTCAGAAATGTTGGCTTCCTTTCCCATGTAGGTGTCATGTCTTGATGGACTATGAGAGAGTTATCCAAATAACATTTATTGACCCCAGTTTGTTCCAGAGCAGTCTTTCACAAGCTAGTGCCTTCCAAAAGTTTTATATTCTAATATCCAGCACTCCTGATTATTAACTAGCTGGGTACTGATGGCAGCTGAAGTGGAAAACATATGGAAGGCCCCAGATTAGAGAAGGTTGAAAAGGTTAGGATAATAAGAGTTGCTGCTGTTTAATTTCAGCACTTATTCCTTGTGCATTTAATAGCACCATTAAGTTGCTACATCTGCAATGAACATTTGTACGTGACAAAAATTTGAAGACTTTTCAGGTTGCATGACAAGCTGCAAAAGCTTACTGTCCCTTTTGAAAACCTGTGTTCTTGCTGCAGTATCAAACAAAGCTATATGTTGTCCTGTCAGTTACATAATTAGTGGCTAAACTAAAGTATAATCTTTAGTTATAATGGTGGCTTGTGTACAGATCTGTCTTCCCACATTCATGTTCTTGTGGCTTGGCGCTCTTAGTAGCTGTAGGTGTGGTTTGCTGAGAAATGCAGTTGAGTTCTTCCTGCTGTTGTGGCTTCCCTCGTTGTATGTGTTGTTGATTGTTCTGTGGAGACTCCTAGTGGGCGCTTGGGATGAATTCCATGTTGTTGTGCTCACGGTCACTGAATTTTACAAGCTTAGCCAATCTTATGAAACTCATGTATGAGTGTGTGCGTTAGTCTTCCAGTATTAGGAGCATTAACAAAATTCTTGCACACTGCTCGATTCATGTGACCTATACGTCTTGAAATTAGGAATGTACACTTTTTTAAATTGGCAAATGAAAGAGGAAGGGGAATGGAAACATTCACTTATGTGGTCTCCTTCCCTTCCTCTACTTCCCTTCCTCCCCCATAAACAATTGGACAAAATATTTTTAAAGTTGTCATGATGGAGTGATATCTTTTTTGGATTATAGAATACAGAAATAATATTCCATTTCCTTTTCAGATAGTAATTTTAGGTCTTAAATTGAAGGTGCTGCATAGAGAAATGGACAATATTCACACAGAATTGTTTGCTTACTGTGACCTATTGTAGCACGTTCAGACATTCCGTTTTCTGAATAGTTACAAAACAGCAGCATGAACTGTTTTTCATTCGCTTGTTAAGTAAATGTGAATTTTAGATCAAAGTTCTTCGTCTCAGTTTCGTAATTAGAATAAGATTAGGGTTGAGCCTATTAAGGAAACTAAACTTCAGTAGGACTCATATGTCAGGAACACTAGCTGTAATGATAGACTGTTACAGTTAGAATTAGGTACACCTTCTTATGATAACAGTGATTGAGAAAAGGCATGTGTTCCTGTCACTGGATTAGTCAGTTATAGTCAAAAGCAAGAAAACACAAGTTGTATTGTAATAACTTTTACTCTTGTTTGGTCAAACTATTTACCCTTTACGATCAATGCATATTTGAATCTGTTGCATAGATTACTAGTGGAAGTAACGGTGGAATTTAATGGGACATTTATTTATTTATTTAAAACATTTTTATGCCGTCCCCATCGCAACAAAGCCTTGGGGCAGCTCACATTCCTGGAAAGGACTTTAGGACATAGTTTAGAATCCATCACAGCTTCCAAATTTACATTTAAGCATTTAAAATGTTTGCTTTGAGGTAGAACTCTTTTATGAAAAAATGATATTGTATTATGTATAATTTTAAAAGATTGAATTTTAAGTTAAGGGTTCAACATGTGGAAGAGAGAAAAAGCTTAACTCCAGAATGTTAATCCCTTTCATGTGTATCTGGCAGAGCACTTGTCAAAACAAACAAAAGAAAATAATCATTTTTGTCCATCTTTGGTGACATTTCCTTTTAAACATAGTATATACTCAAGTTTGAACTGCAATGACTTTCAAAGTGAATGTTTCTGTTAACATTGTAAACAGTAGTCACTTAGACAAAAGTTACCTTGACTTAGTTTATTTCTATGATAAATCATAGGAAGTATATGTATATTTTTACATCCTAAGTAAGTGTCAAAGATTCTGGACCACAAATTACAAACTGGGTTTCTCTTCTCAAGGCAGTTCAAAAGACTTCAGTGTTGGCTGGAATATTTGTCAAATTGCTGTGTGAGGTTCTGCTAACAATGGCAAGGCGGGAAAAGGAGAAAGACTAATCTCTATATACTCTTCGTATTACCTTGTGTCTCGTTGTCAAACAACCAGAAGTTCCTTGGCCAAAGCTTCTAATTAAGACTTAGTGTTCTGTCCTCAATGTCTCAAAACTAATTTCAAACACCATTTCATTCTGAAATGGTTTTGATGTACCTGTATTATCAAAGTAGTGTGAACTGCAGTGACAAGTAAACATTTAATACTAATGGCATAAAGTATTTCAGTAAAACAAAATGCTTTGAATTAGCTTTTGTTTCTGTGCCAACTCCCAAGTCCTTATTCTCTTTATGTTTATACACTGTCTTGCTGCATATGTTAATATATCTGTCTTGCCAATGGTTATAGCTGGAAAATTAAATGATGAAAAAGGTAGGGTTGAAATGAGAAGTACTTGTGTCCTAAAGAAAGTTCTATGGTGGTATTAAAGTGAATAATATACAGTGGGGCGGATATTCTTCCTTTTCATGAGGAAATAACAAAAAATTGCAATTTATGAAAAGAAGGAACTTTACATTAAACATAAAAAGCGTGTTGGATAACACACTTTTTTCTTGTTTTCTTGATTTGAATAGAACCTTCAGATAAAAACTTTGGCAGATGATGTGGTAAGATTCTCGTGTACTGGGTTTGTATTTATCTCTAGTGCATGCTGCTTGTAATACATAAGAATAACCATGGATAGTGAAAAAAGAACAGTACGAAATGAATAATTTCTAATTTCTTAATACCTTTGAATAATCTCTAACTTCTGTGTGGCTCCTGACCATGGGTTCACAAATAATCTTGGTTTACAACTTGTATTGTCCCCAGATAGCATCTATGAATCCCGAGCTAGGAACCCACTGCCTAAGTGGGACTTCCTTCCTTCATTTGGACTTTAGGGTTATTTCCCCCATATTTATCCATTCCATGTCTTGTTCATGGTAGATTTGGACACATTCAAACCTGACATTGTCAAAGATGTTCAGATGTGTACAGTAAGAATGCCTGTCTCTCTTGCTAGAAATAGCATGCGACTGAAACACCCAAGACCAGTTCTGAGTGATTTTCTTGGTGAACGGACCATAGTGTTGTAAGCTGTCCAGAGATGTTGTAAGCCATCGAGAGATGTGTAGTGATTGGATGGGTCAGAAATACCCCCCAAATAAATAATAAATAAATCTAATCCATGGCCTGAGATAATAGACTTTTACCTCTAGTCAGCTAAGGTGGAGCAGAGGCGATTCTGCCTTTTGCTCAGTCCTATATTGTATCCTGACCCTTGATTTAAGTCTCTCTTGTCAAAGGGCACCACTAACATCTGCCTGTACCACTTGTGGCAAATTTGGTAGAACCTGACCATCTCTGTTCTAGTTTGGAACATATTTCATTTACTGTTATTACTGATATCTGTTAATTTGAATATACACCTTGTCTCATTTGAAGAAATTGACTGTGTTGCAGTTTTAAAGTCTTCATGCATGAAGAACATGTTGGAAAACAGTTCATATAGTGCTCCCAAATAATTCTCCCCTTAGTTCCTAAGCTGCATTCAAGACCAAGCAATTGGTTTCAAGCCAAACTCCTCCTATAGCCAGACTCAGGAGCACCAAACATTCTTTTCTTCCGCTATCCCTTATTATACAGGATATGACAGAAGTAGAGACTATTCTTTTGTCCTAATAAACAATCATGCATGCACTGCTGGAAGGGAGAAGGAATTGACTGAACTGTGCTATCTGCAGTATTGAGCCTTTTAATGTTACTATCAACTAATGCTTGTTATGCTTTGCAAAAACTCTTTCTGAAAGCATTAACAGCTAACTTGTTTGTATAGTGATGAGCACTTAAAAGAGACTGTACTTAAGCCCTATAATGGCTGTTCAGATGCTTAGACTCAAGCTTCTCATCAGCAACATAAACCTAATTCATGGCTCTGCTGTTTTGAATATATCCACTTTAAACATGCTCCAGTTCATGGAGATTTGAATGTTCCCTGTAGGCTATAGTACATCAATATCCTAAGGAGCAGGGCGGTATGTACAGTGTGTTTCTGTGACTATATTACATTGAATATAGTCACAGAATATGAAATGCAGATTTGAATCTGAGCACCCTCAAACTTATTTTTTTATTTTTAATAAATGAAGGTGTTTTTTTTTTTTTTTTTTGTCATTAAAGGGCCAAAGTAGGAGGGAAAAGTCTGCAGAGATTCCTGTGAGGGAATCTTGCTTTTACTTGTGACAAGGATCAGAAGAAATTTATGCATGATAAGCATTTGTATAATTCATACAAATTTGGAACCTTTCTTTGCAGAAGATTTAAGTTAGTGATACAGATTTGGGAGATTATGTAGCATTGATTTTAGCCAGGTGATAGCTACATAGCCCATTATTTTGCCTAATGGTGTATCTGTTTAAAGGCAGACTGTAACTTTGTGTAGAAATATTTCATTTTTGAGTGGAAAACATTCAGTGGTTAGAGGAAAAATCAGTATTTGGAGTACAGTCTCAGAATGGCAGTTGTATGGCTTAGCTAGCATTCAGCATGAATATTGGTTATTGTTGTGCTCTTAGCATGCAAAGGAATAAGTAAATGTCTGTTGTACACCAACTCTTACCAGAAAATATTTCCTTTCTTTCCGCAGCGTGACAGATTAACCAGTTTTAGGAAATCAGGTGTCAAAAAGGAGAAACTCCTCATCCAGCACCCCATTGATTCACAGGCCTCTATAAATGAACTGCCAGTGGCTCAGCCACTGTTTGATGAACGTTCGATGAATTTATCAGAAAAAGAAGTTATGGACCTTTTTGAAAAAATGATGGTAAGCTTTGTGTTGAACATACATAATAATATATTATTACCAATACATTAAGTGAGTTTTTTTGTTACCATAGTTTTCCTAACTAATAGTTGCTGAATTTCTGAGCAAAACAGCTAATCCTGACTCCAAGCAGATACAGGCCCTTATTGAACGATGCAGGGCGACAGAATGGATTTGTGTGATAATTCCAACATAAGTTGAATTTAGGCAGAGGGTAAGAAAACACATTTTAGTTGCTATGGATTCAGTGTTGCCAGAAATGTTTTCCCTGTGAGGTATTCATATTCTTCAGGTGCTTTAAGAGTGAGTGTGGGCAGAAGGTCTTTGATGCATTAGTATGAACTATGTGGTTGAATAAATTTGCATATTATGGCTGTGGAAGACCACTTCTAAGTGCTTTACTATGGCTACTGTAATATATTCCAGTTCAATTATTGATGTAACAGTGAATACTTGTTTATGTGTACTGGAGTAAACTCATCCTGCCAAAAAAAAAAAAAAAAAGAAAGTTTGAAAATACAGTTTTCCAACAAGTGAATCACTCTTTTGTCAGTTACTTTCTGACTGCAATTTAAGTGCACAGAATATCTTAAAATTCCGTTAAAGGTTGTAGGATATTTGAAGACTGCTTTGGCATATCCTCTACATTTTTCACTTTAGTTAGTTCCAGATCTGTATCCTTGTTAGCTTGTTGCAACAAAAGCAAAGGATTTGGTCCCCCTAAACAGTAACAAATGTATCATGGCATAAGCTCTGAATTACAGTCTATTTCATCAGATACATTAAATGTTATCCTTAGTTATTTCAGGATAGGGTATATTAATCATGGTTCTTTGCATTGCATAATGTCAAGATATTTGTGTTAGCCTTTTGTAGCAAAAACAAAGAGCTGTGACCCCATAAAGAATAGTAAATTTATTACAGCACAAACTTTGATGCATTAGAATCTACTTCTTTAGATGTATGAAATATTTTCCTGTGGTATAATGGGATAGTTTATTTTAATCATGTTACACTGGATTACCCAGTGCAGAGATATTTGCGTTATTAGCTACAAGTTTTGTTGAATAGGCACTGTTAATAACGTGACTGCTCATCATACCTCAAAATATAGTATAATGATGGAAGAAGTAAAGAAAATTAAAATAATCAAGGGGATGCAGCAATTCTTTTATCAGGAAATCTGAGAAAAGAGGTAAGGAGGAACCTGGGTAGAGGTGTTTAAAATCATGCATGGTATGGAGTAAGGTTGGCACAGATCCTTTCGGAATTCCTCCCTCGAGCATCTGTAGACTTCCTCTTGTGCTTGGTCAGGTCCTGCAAAGAGAATCTCCTACAGAATGAGTCAGAATCAGTAGTGGAGACTAGAGAAGTTGCCTCAGCGAGGAGTATAAAGATTGTAATTCTGTATAAACTAATCCAGTAACAGAATATTTCTTTTCTATAGAGACAAACTTGTATTGAATTTTATTGGTAAGGCTTGGTGTGTGAATAACTAAGGGAAGGAATGCACACAGGTCTGTGAAGAAAGAAATGAGGAGAAAATAAAAAGAAGGAAGGTAGCAGTGCAAGAAATAACTGAATTCAGACCATTTCCCTGGTTAGCCCAAGGCTGTTGTGGGGGCCAAAGGCTTATAGTGGGACGGGAGCACCTGGGCAACTACTGGGGTGTCTTTGAGGGATTGGGAGAAAGGGACTGAGTGCCTTCCTTGAATTCTGGGTGTGAGGGAGACAGATGACCTGAAAGAGATATCACGAACTGAGTGTGAAACCCCATAAGAGCTGTATAAAACTAAAGATTATGGTGACTGAAGTGCCCAGCAAACATGCTGCTGTAGGCTTCCATGGGAATGGAGCAGGGGCAATTTTATACATCATAGTATAAAATGGTGGCAAAAGTAATAAATATTATTTCATACATAAATTAAAGTGGTCAGTTTTTAAGGTGCCACAAGACTGATCTTTGTATTGTAATATGACTTGCTGTACTTGCTGTTTCAGACCTTTACGGAAAATCAAAGAAGTTAGATATAGTTTCAGTTTTGGGATGGCAATAGTACTTCCTTGATGGAAGTGCTAAAGTGGAAGGTTATTTGCCTTTGGCTGTTGTACATGAGCTGTGTCAATTCACTTCTCCAGGTTAATTTGCCATAATGCAGTAGAAATGCTACTAAAAACAAATGCAAGGTGCTAAAAACAAATGCAAGTATCTGGCCCATCAAATCCCCATTCATTCATTCATTCATTCATTCATTCATAGAAATCAAAGTGACTTTGATGTGAATTGTTAGTGTTTGAAAATACTTTAAAGCTTCTAAGGTTCAAAAAAGCAGTTTGGGGATTCAGTAGACAATTTGCAGAAGATAGCCTAAAGCAGAACCTAAATAAGAAGGTTCAGTATGGCTATCTGCTTAGAAGAAAGATCTTGAAACAACAATCTGTGTAAGGTCTGACAACCATATGACTCAGAAGAACATAGAGTCTACCTGGGAAGTTCTATGAGACTATTAGCATGGAATAGGTTTGGGAAGTCCCACGTGACTATAGCATGGAATAGGTTTAATAATCAGCCATGCTGTGTCAGAGTCATTGTCCAATCTAATTCAGCATTCTATTCTCAAAGCAGCTTGCAGGATCCTACAAGCAGGATATAAGAACACCCTCCTACCCAGGTTCCCCAGCAACTGGTATACCTAGCCACACTTCCTCTGATACTGAAGATGGCATGCAGTCATCAAGACTAGTAGTCTTCTCCATGAATTTGTTCAATCCCATCATGATGTCTGGAGCTTGTTCCTCAGATTTAACTGCTCCTGTTTCTAAATCCTGGGGAATAATATGCATAATTCATGTGGCAGTTGAGTAAAAAAATACCCAGTAAAGCTGGAATGGTTTATTATCAACACCTAACTAAAAGACTTGGTATTAGCAGTCCTGGAGATGTGCTTTTTTATAGTTCTCAGCAATTTTTGATATGTTAGGAGAAAAATGGTAGCATTGTTCGATATAAACATTTTTGGTGACTTATTGAAATGTTGCTCAAAGTTGATCCAGTTGCTTATTAGTACTTCCATCATGAGCATGTTAATTCTGTTGCTCAGCTTTGTGTGTACAGTTTTTCCACACACTATAAATGGAAATAGTTTGAATTGTTCATTTAAGCTGCTCCTATAAACTGATAGCTTAGTATAATGATGTAGAATAGCCTGTTTGGAGTAAAGCAGCCATCCCTGCTCTCTTTAAATGTTGAGCGATTCTTAGCATCTGTAGTCACAAAGATTAGCTAAAACTATGCTATAATAATCCAGTCTTGGCAATGTTATGCTTTTTATTTGCAGGAAGACATGAACCTGAATGAAGAACGAAAAGCTCCTTTACGGAATAAGGACTTGACCACAAAGCGTGAGATGGTTGTCCAGTACATTTCTGCAACTGCCAAATCTGTAAGTAGGAAGCCTTCCTGCAAAGATAGGTCAGGCTAATACTCTTAACATCATCTGCAGTTTTCAACTCAAATCTTCCGATTTCTGCTTAAGTTTATCCTTCTAGAGTGCTTACAAAGCTTTCTTCATAAAATCCTTTAAAATGCCTTCAACTATGGATAAAAACCTTAATTAGAATGTATTACATCTATCACAACTGCTTGGTAATCTGAAACATGATGCTGTCTTTACTGTAAACCAATAAGTATCCTAAATCCACTGCTCCAGAATCATCAAGGCTTTTCACAGTATCTCTTGCAGTTAATAGCACAAACCTGGAGATGCTGGAAGTAGCATTAAAACAAGGTACAAAAATATCTTAACTTTCAGACCATATTCTTTACTGCTGATTGATGTTCCTATGTTCAGTCCTATGAAAAGAATGGAATACTGAAAATGCCAGAATCAAAGAGCCACATTCTCACTCCTGCACGTGCAGTTGGCTTCCAGATTTACTCATTCCAGTGGTAGTCCTGCATACTGCCTAATAGGACTAATATGCTAAATTATCTGATTCGGCAAGAAATCTCATGACTCCTTTTTCCACGCTTTAGCTCTTACATGTGCTTTGGAGGCTTTGAATCTTGACTAATAATTCTCTGTACAGAATAATGGCAAACAGTTAACACCTGTTAACCTTGGTGTGTTGAATTCTAGTTGGAAGCTTTTCCTTTGATGAAATACTGGCTTCCTTTCAGAGGTTTGGGACAATATGCAGCGTTAAGTGAACTATGTTCCAAGCTTTGTTGTAGTTATGTTCCAAGACTAAAAAGTGCTGTTTGTTCATGGCATGTTGTCTTTTGACAATTATCAAGAAAAAATATACAATGTTCTTAGGAGTGTAAGAAAGTGCCTTCTGTGGAATCAGGCAATTCGTCCACCTTACTCTGTAGTGTCGACTGGCAGAAGCCGACTGGCAGGATTGCAGTCAAGATTCCTTCTTAGTCTTACCTGGAGATGCTGGGACTTGAGCTTGGGACTTTCTGTATGTAAAGCAAGAGCTCTACAGCTGGGCTATAGGAACCTTCATAGGGATAAACTGTCTGCTTGTTTTCTGTGCAGAAATGAATTCTTGACTTCTAATAGAGTATTTGTTAAAATAAAATGAATGTGTGTATATATCAGCAAAGTTCCTTTCCCTTTAAATAAGTTACTGGAAAAAGTGAGTGATAATACTTTATGAGATTCCTTCCAAGTATTGGTATTTAACATTTCAGCTATTAATCCCATGCTAATGTAGTTCTATTTTTATGAAATAGATTTCTTTACACAAGATACACTTCCCTGTAATGCATTTGCAGAGAAGCACCTGAACTTCTAATTCATTTGCTCCTTTGCTCTTATGACATTCCTTTACAAGCTGCTCCTGAATACCTGCTTAAGCTTCACATTATCTGCACAGGCTAGCTGCATGTTTTCTAATTTGCCTTGCTCTGCCTTGCCTTGCTTTCCAGGGCAGAAATATGTTTCAAATGATAAGTGAAATTTGCCACCAGCCTGATTTCAGTAGAATTACATAATGTACTGGGTTTTACTTTGAAATTCCAATGAATCTTTACCCAGTTTTGTGCTCAAATTATTGTTGGTAATAAAGTGCTTTGGGAAACACAAACATCCATATTCAGTACTATTTTTCAAATACCTAAAGGCAGAAATATAATCATTCTACATACCTAAATCAGAATGCAAAATGCAGATAACAGTACATGAATAATCATGTGTTGCATTAAAGGCAAGTAGTAAATGCGATTATCTCTGTGTTTGCCCACTTTATTTATAAATGTGGAGCAGATGAACTCACAAAGAACTGCAAATATGAACATGGAACTAGCATAGCAGAATGCAAACTTAAAATATACATAGCTACTTTTTATTTATGGTAACATGCTTTACTTGTTCTCACCTGTCAAATGAAAATGTAGAGAACTGCAGCTGCTTTATTTGTTAATCATATTTCATGGATGTCTCTTTAAAAATTCAGAATTGAAGGCATTACATCTTGCTCAGTGTGATGCAATCATGCAATTCACACCTTCATTAAACACATTCTAGGATTATAGACTGACTTAATATTTTGCTTGGGCATTATATAGCTTTTAGGGTATTATTGCTAGGAATATGTTAAAAATCAATTTTTGAATCTCTGAGATAACCTCATAAAATATCAGTAAAATGTTCACCTGTAATTTACAGCAAATTTAAAAAGTAGTTTAAAGTAGTGGTGATGACTGTTTTTGTTAACATGGATTAATATACTACTTTGTTATGATGAACCCCTTAATTAGTCATGTTTATGCTACATTCTGCAGAAAAGGCACACTGAGGAGGAAGGATAGGCAAAAATAAATGCAGAGTAAAGAAATGCGTTTTAGATAAATGTTGAAAGCAAATGATTGTCAGGGCCTAACATATTTCAGTGGGTAGGTAATTCCATACTGTGAGTATAACCACAGAGTATGTAATTTATTCTATTTATTTATTTTTCAATTTCTATCCTGCCTTTTTCCTCAAAGGGCTCAAGGCAGCTTACATCATCTCTCCACCTCCATCTTATCCCCACAACAGCAACCCTGTGAGGTAGGTTGGGCTGAGAGTCTGTGACTGGCCCAAAGTCACCCAGTTGGCTCCATGGCTGAGCAGGGACTAAGAACCCAGATCGTCCCAGTCCCAGTCCCATGCTCTTAACCACTGCACCACACTGGCTCTCAGTCTCAATAGCAGTCAGAGGAATAAGCAAGTGGTACAAAGCCACAATCCCTCACTCCACTCTTTTTTCAGTTGCTCTGCTCAGATGTGGAGAAGCAGATCAAGTATCTCGAGACATCCTGTTTATGCAGCTTTCTCTCTTCCCCATTATGGTGCCAGAAGTTGGTCTGTGCAGGATTAATTTGCCCTGTGCAGGGCAATGCGACAGGAAGGGAGACAACTAGAGCGCATGTGGAGAAGATCTTGCAATGAGTCCAGTCGAACATGTTTAAGAGCTCATTATTGAACCTGTTCTGTGGCAATGAGGCGGGCAGAGCATGCTTTCTTGGCCTCCTCTATTGCTTCTTCACAGTGCTGTCCAGCTGAGTTAATTTGGGTGGTCTGGGGCCGCTTGCAAGCTGGTTCATCCGATGAGACCCCAGAGCCCTTGAATGCTCACTGTGATGAATTTGTTCAGCACTTTGCAGGAAAAATTGCTCAGGTTCGTAAAGAGCTCAACTCCGCTTTTTCTATACATCATTCTCTGGAAGTGTCCAGTGCACTGCCCTGCGTTTCATCATTGGATGACTTTCAGTTGTTGTGACCTGAGGATGTGGACAGGGGGCTTGGACTTGTCCGAGTTACCATGTGCCTGCTTGACCCTTGACTGACATGGTTGGTTGGAAGGTCTGCAGGGTGGGTTTGGCCCTGGGTCCAGGAGGCTGTCAATGCCTCCTTGAGAGAGGGAGTGGTCCCTGCCCCATTGAAGCAGGCAGCTGTGTCATTGGGTTCTGCAGAGCTCTGTACTGTCCCCCATGCTGTTTAATATCTACATGAAACCTCTGGGAGAGGTCATCTGGAGGGTTGGGCTGAGAAGTCAGCAATATGCTGATGATCCTCAGTTCTACCTCACCTTCTCATCTAATCCAGGTGAGGCTGTCCTGTCCTGAGCTGAGGTTCTGGGCTTGATAATGGGCTGGATGAGAGTGTATAAACTGAGGCTTAATCCTGGTAAGACAGAGGTACTATTGGTAGAGAGGTCCTCTGGCAGGTTGGAGGGGCATTACCCTGTCCTGGAGGAGGTCACACCCCCCCCCCCCCCCGAGACAAGGCTTCTGGGGGTGCTTCTGGAACTGAGTCTTTCTCTGGAACACTAGGTGGAATCGGTGTCCAGGAGTGCCTTTTTTTCAGCTAAGATGGATTTTTACCAGCTTTGCCCCTACCTAGACTGAGGGAACCAGAAAATAGTTACCCGTGCACTGGTAACTTCCAGAATAGATTACTGTAATGCACTGTATGTGGGGCTGCCCTTGGAAGACAGTCTGGCAATTGGAACTGCTACAAAATTGGGCCACTTGGTTGGTGACTGGTACTCCCTGAGCAGCCCACATAACACCAGTTTTCAAAGAATTGCACTGGTTACCAGTTGTGGCCAGGGTGCAATCCATGGTCCTTGTTTTAACATATAAAGCCCTAAACTGCTTGAGGCCTGGTTATCTGAAGGACTGTCTTCACCTCTGTACACCTACCTGCCCCTTGAGATCAGCCCAGGAGGCCCTTCTACAAGAGCCATCCCTCCGGGAAATGAGAGGGGGGTGGGCAAATAGGCAAAGGGCCTTTTCTATTGCTGTCCCCCATCTCTGGAACTCCCTTGCTAGGGAAATTTGTCTGGTTACATCTTTGTTTTCTTCTTGGCACCAGGCAAAGATGCACCTTTTAATTTTTTAAAAAATATCTAAGCCCACTGTACTCATGAACCTTTTAATATTGATTTTTGTATTTTTAATGTTGTATGTTTTTATTCTTTTAACTGTTGTAATGTTTTAATTATGTGAGCCACCTAGGGAGGCTGTCGCTTCTTGCTGATGCCAGAGTGTAGGACACAGAATAATCAGTTCATGATGTGACAACGCAGATTCAGGCTGGACATCAGAAAAGCTTCCTCACTGTCAGGGCAATACGACAGTGGAACCATGTGCCTAGAGAGGTGGTGGGGTATCGCACACTAGAGACATTCAAACAGACACTGGACAGCCATCTGGGTGGGATGGTGCTAAGTGGTAATCTGCACCAGCAAGGTTTGAACCTGATGGCCTTCTTGGCCCCTGCCAACTCTACTATTCTATGATTCTATGTGGATGGCTAAATCAATCAATCAATCAATCAATCAATCAATCAATCCAACCCCCTCTAGTTCTCAAATGTGAATAGGCAAATTTCTAGCAAAAGGTCAAGTATAAAGCTTCCCACAATCCATATCTTACTGACCAGCAGTTTCAGAACCAGAAATATAGCAACTTACAATATGCAGTAGGCCTGCCATCAGTTTCCAATACTGGTTTGATACAGTCACCCACTTCTCACAGTCAGCATGTCCTGTTTTTTCACTATTTTAGGGTGGTTTTGCTGTCATAAAAGCAATACCACATTGGTTTGAATGAATCAACCAGGTGTGCTTAGGCAAATAATTAGGCACTTGCGTCCAGCATACACTGGCACATGCCATGGTTAAAAACAAGCTGCTGTGACTTGTTTATATTGTAGTGATCATGTGAACTGGCAGAGAGATAAGAAGGAAAAAAAACCTGGACAAATGCTATCATGGATAATAGTTTTGGTAATTAGTTGCCCTCTAACATGAAGAGGGAACACGCCTTTCATGCTTCGTAAAGTGAGTGAGAGAGAGAGAAGACTTGGAAAAGTTCCAGAAAGCCATTTAGAGAGTTTTGTTCATTCTCTATGCCAGACGTGGACAATCTTTTTCAACAGTGGCAATTTGAGAAATTGGGGCTCTGCAGAGGAAAGCACGGGGCTAAAGCCACTATCAGTCTTCATTTTTAAAGAAAGTCTTTGCACCCTTTGTATGACCCCAAGAATTCATGGAAAAAGAAGATGGGAGTAGCAATAGGTTCTCACTTTAGTGTGAAAACAGTCCCAGCTTCCAGAAAGAAGCTTAGTTATTAAAAGAAAAGCTGGGTGTGGGGCTTCTTGGAGAGCACCAGGTTGTCGTGACTGAGGATACAGGTGCCTACAGGTGCATTTTGCCTGCATTGACTCCAGGCACTTAATTCAAAATTGTCTGTTTGGATAGGCCCACTTCAGCATTTCACATCTTTCGATGGCCACTGCCACCCCATTGCAGGAATGGATTTTTAAGCCAACCACCATTTTAATATCCATAACACTTCTGTCATTCGTGTCATTCCTGAGCCTTCTGGGAAGTTAAAATGGTGGTCCTCCCAAGCAACCTAGCTTGCTGGTAACACACTGTGATACTATTAATGACAGCAGTTAAGCCTGCCAGAATGGGGTAGGTGGGGGGGACACCAAAGGTACTCCCCTTCCTCAAACTTTTAACTCAGCGTAACTGCTTAATATACTGAAACAAGCAGCCTTGTGGTTGCAATGCATGGGAAGAAATAATTGCGAACTGATACGTCCAGTTCATGCCAATGCTCCAAAATGTTATGACTTGCCTGTGTAACAGAGGATGATAAAGAGAGGAGATAAACTGTATGAGCGGTCTTTGAAAAGTAGGCATTGGTAGACATGCTGGCTTTTTGCATTGCTTTCCCTATGTAGTACTGGTCGCTTTTTAGAAAGATTTTTAAAACTTATTGTGGGCCGGGAAGATAAGTGTTGGTTCATATCTTAAGAGTGTTGGACCTTTATTAGTAGAAAGCTAAATTCATTTTTGCAAGAGCTGCATTCTATTGATGGGGGGTGGGGGGTGACAAAAGAGGGTGGGAAAAATGTCAGCATGAATTTGTATAAAGCCTTTTTTTTGTCAGCAAGTCTAAGGCATTTCATTCTTTTAGAGTGTAGAAGAACACAAAAGCCAAGAAGCTACTGAAGTTTTATAGGCTGAATGAATGGGGTGGAGCTGTTCAGAGCCCATAGGGCCAGATTTGGCTCCTGAGTGTATGGTTCAACATCCCTGCCTTAAGACTTGACCAGTGCAACAACTGACATGAGCCAAGCAAGATTACTGTTCTATTCAAGAGTTAAGTCTAATCAACAATGTTCTTTGTTCCCCAGACACAAGTGGCAGAAAGGCTGCCATTAAATTCTCAGAGCTTGTGCTGTAAAACCCACATAAAATAGGATGGGTTTGCAGTCCTATTGCTACTTGCCCATTCTCTGTCGTCTACTCTTGGGTGACTTGATTCGGAGTTGCGTATTTCCTAGTTGCACCACTGTGGCATTTATATAGGCATTAATGCCAAGAGCAGTTACATGAGTTGAAGTCCTTCCCCATCAAACTCCTCAGTCTTGATCGTTTGCATTTTGAGAAAAAGTGAACATATGTAGCCCATTTTTCCCCATTAAGGCTTTCAAATGCATTTATCTAATTCTGGTGGAGGGTTGTCTAATAAAACTAAAATTATATTTATGAACATCTACTTTGCCAGTACTTTTGATGAAGTATTGCTCGAATTTAGGGGGGGCTTTTTTGCTTCAGTAGACAGATCTCTGACAAGCTATATTCAAATATATATAATTTTAACTGCAGCTGTTAGAATGTATGCCTAATGATTTTTTAGTTCTTGTGCTTGCATGCACTAATATACAATGTACCGTAAGCTTAAATAAGTCTTAATTTCTTCATATTAAAATATTATGGACATATACAATTAAAATGCTGTTTGAATTCACAGCTTTTACAGCTTGTTGAGATCTGTTTATGAAAATTTTCTGTCTCATATTAAATATCTTTTAACAGATACTAACTACTAAAACACATGGCTAGTTGTGTGAAATGCTTCAGCTTACTTCTTTTACTTTTTTTTTATCGCTGTCTCTGCTCTCCGTTGATCACTGCATGCAGTTTATCGGATGTAAAGTTCCGGTGAGTACGAACATAGTCACTTATACCTTGTAGATGCATGGTTAAAGAAAGAAAAACTCTGCAGGGGGTTTTGCATTGCTTTACTTGACACTGGCCTCTTGCATGTCTCTTTAATCTGATGTAGCAAGTATGCATTGTACTTTAATTCTTTTGTGGAAATTTTGGACAATATAAAGTCAGGTTTTTATTCGAGACTTCCTGAAACAGACCCTCAGCTTGTTGAATTCAACTGAATCCTTCAGTGGCAGCATTGGGAATATGGCAGATAAATTAGTGTGGAACGTCTAATAGAGCTGACTCTGAAACAAAAGTGACTTGCTTGCCATTGTAATATTTGGCTTTGGTAATATATTGTCGGTCAGCATGTTGGGAGTCAGAAGCTTGGTAGCCTGTGGAACATGACTTTCTTGGTTCTTATTCCTGAGGCAACATAGCTGCACTGTTTGTGTATTTCTGTGCTTGTTTGATAGACTGAGTTTGCCTATTTGTATGCATATATGACAGCAACTTATTCTTTCCAATCCATGCCACTGAAGGCATCCTGGTATTATTTGCAGGCAGCACCTCGTCTTCTTTAATGTCAGTTGCCAGAGTATACTCTTACTAAAAATGACATTGCGGTATTTCTGCCAACCATATTGGTGGATCCCTTTAGGGACCCCCTGAAGGTGCAGGAAAACATACTAGCTCCAATTGAAAATTCTTTGTAGCTTATATGTTTGGTAGTATTACATCAGAGGTTGACTATGAACACAGTATTCTGAAAAAATGCAAGTGATTTTTCAAAACTGAGAAGGTATGTGCAATGTAAAGATTCCAAAAGTTCATGATCAATTGTGATGAATGATGAAAGCACCTTTTCTTTCTTATAAACTGTTTTCCATATCTCAAAAATCTTGATGCAGTGTGCAGATTTTAAGTCCTCATATTAAATGTTGGCATTAACAGATTTATAAGGTAAATACTTCATGCTGTTAAATCACAAGACTCACACTTTCAGATGGAGTAGTAATCTGTTTTAGAGTTGCTTGTCTATCGTTCTTGCTCTCGATCACCATTTCTCTCCTTAAACTTCAGCAGGAAGTCAACACACAGCCAGCACAACAGATCAGAGGGCTTACTCAATAGTTCTGTTGGTGGAGAACCTTGTCTCATGCCTCCCTTTTAAAACTAGAGACCTCACTAAGCAGCGGAAATGCTGTAGTCCCTAAGTGGGAACAGGGTGCCATTTCTGTAATCCAATCAATCAGACCTTGAATGACAGCTGAGGAATAATTAATAAACGAAATGTATATGTAGGAAAAGGCATTGTCGCAACCCCTTCTAGAAGCAGGACAGAAATGAGAAGTGTTTTCCTGTCAGACAGCTTCTTGGATTAAAAGGGGTATAGGTGTGGTACGTGACTGGCAGGGCATCGGGACATGTCTGCTACTGCAGCCAACTATGTACAGACTTCAAATTTAGGTTTCCTAGAGTTAGCATTGTATTACAGCTGGTGCTGGAACTGCATGCACATAGTGTTCAAATCATTTGTTATCCTGATGCCTCCCCCCCCAAAAAAAAAAAGTTCTCAGAAAGGAAATAACTTGATTCATTGAATATCCTGGTTTTAGTTACAGAATTGGATTCAATTTTCTCTATAGCACTAAACTTCAATTTTCAAATCAAAATTACATTCACTGAAGTGCTATAACAATTGAACACAATCCAGCCAGATTTAAGTTATTTCAATTAGATTCGAATCTTTAACACATACTTAATTCTTTCAGGGAAATCAGTGGACTTAGGTATTCTGAACATTGGCTGAATTGGGGCAATTGCTTTCTTTAATCCATAGCTGTAACTTATCTCTTTGTTACTAGAATTACAGGTCATTCATAGCTTCCATCACAGAGCAAATAGTCATTTGACATGAAATGGTGATCTGCATTAAAATAGTCTCTTTCTATAAGTGTCGGTTCTAAATGCAGTGATCCTACAGATTCTTGATAGTATCTCAATAACACATCAGTAAATTATTTTGTGAGATAACATTCAGGAAAAATGCTTGGCAAATGAGCAGAGGTTTTATGGCTGGAACAAGCAAACAAAAAGTAATACTCCTACATCTGGCTCCCGTGAGCATTCACAACACTTGAGCCTGACTAGCTGTGAAATCAAATATATTTACTGCATATATTGGTCAAGATCCAGAGAACCATTTTAAAATACGCTGGAAAGATTTGCAGTGCTCCAAGGAACTGTGCTGATGAAATCCCCCTGTACTGCAACAGTTCATAATTCACTGCTTTGGAAGATGGTTCAGAAGGTTTTGCAAAACTCTGGTTCAGTTCTTTGCTTTACTAGCTGCTGCAGAAAGTAAGATACTCAAACCTCATAAAAGCGTTGTGTTCTCTGAATTACAAGCATGGAGCACCAAGTTTTGATGTTTACTTTGAAAGCTAGAGGTAGGTAATTCTACGGAATTGTTGTTAGTAGTTATCACAGAGTATCAAAACAAAAGCAAGTGTAACTGTCTGCACAGTAATTTAATACTGGGAGCCTCCTTTCATTTCATTTTGGATTGTTTCATCAAAAGGTTTACACGGTAAGAAATATGCAGAAGTAATTTTACCATTGCCTTCTTCTGCACAGTACTGACCAGAGTTAGATAAAGAGTTACTGCTGTTGTCTGAATAAAATCTTCTGCCGGGGTTGCTTCCAACTACTGCTGTTGCCTAGTAGTTGCTGTCCAGGAGCTTCTCTGCCATATCAATATTAGGGATAGCTATTCTGCTTATGTGACCATTGCTGATTAAGAGGTTGGATGCATCTTAGTCTGTTTTCGCAGTGCGGCCCATTTTGCCTTGGGAAATTCTGCTAGGAGACCAGCCTAGTGAGAAAATCGAGCCTCTTTGTGGCACTGCTCTGCCTGACACTTGCAAATCCCGTCCCCCCCTTTAGGTGCACACTTGGGGGGTAAAGGTGTAAACAGCCTGGTAAAATTGTAGGTTAACAGTCTGGACTAGTTGTTCTGTCTTTTGTCGGTAGAATTAATAGGAGATTAAAGGGGTGAAAATACAACTTTATGTTGGCAAGAAGGAAGCAGGACGAACACTGAGACGGATAGGCAAGAATTAATGCATTTCAGTATGCTTTTGTTTCTTGAAGCAGTTCATAATTTATTATTATTATTATTTATTATTATTATAACATTTCTATGCCGCCCCTTGCCGAAACCTCGGGGCGGCTTACAACATGATAAAATACATTGAAATACAATAGTACATAATAAATTACCATTAAATATAAAAATACAAAAAATACATTGATTTACAAATACAAAATTAAAATTATCAGTATAAAATAAAAATATAGGAGGAGAAAGAGAATTTATGAACTTATGAACATTTTTGAACAAAGACAAGCCCATCTTTGAAATTGCTATTGCTTATGTAGCCAAGTGGTCTGGAAATTTAATCATTTCCTTCTTGGAGAGTGCAAGATAGGGTAAGAGAGTGCTTCTTTTTAGATGTGACAGCAGCATCAAGTGGCAGTCATGGGTTAATTAAGCCGTGAATTTCATGGGTACGGTGCGGAAAGCCACTTTCAGTTTCCTGGAAGGGTGTCTGAATACAGGTTGGTTGTTTACATGGTCATGGTTAAAAGAAGAAGAAAGACCATTCATTGCTTACTGAATTTACACTTTATTCCAGGAAATGAAAAGTGCTTCATGTGCAGCTCACGTCCTTGCAATTTGTTGTTTATTAACCCACAGATTGTCACTGGGTGCTGCATGGATGTCACTGGATCCAGATAGGGCCAGTATGCATTCTTGTACTTTTAAATACTACTCATACATTGAATATAGTAACACCCAGAAGGAGGCTGAAGTATGCTTTAATGACCTGTAGTACATGCTATATGTTTTAAGTGTAACCAAGATAATTCAGTTGAACAGTCTGAGTACATTTCAGATACAATTAAATTTCTTTAATTGTTTGTTCCTTTAAGTGCAAGATTTCAGTGAGAACGAATGAACTATTGAAATGTAATATCCTCAGAACACCGCATGTTAATATAAGCATTCTTCTTACCATCTAAAATGAGTAATCTATCTCTGCATTTTTGTACAGTTCATAAGAGATAGGCAACTAAAAAGTGGTGGTTGAATGATCTTTTGTACTTCCTGTGTCTGGATACTTCTTTTGAAGGAACCAAGCTTTAGCCCTTCATATTAGCATATCTGTAGCAAAGAAGATGAACCGAGTACTAGTGATAGGTTGCTAAGCAAAAAGAGTATTTGGAGACAGTAATCCTGTTAAGAATTCTCCAGTATGAGCTGTGGCTATACATTTGACTATTCAGGTGAAAGACTTCAAAATGAAATTTGAAAACAATTAAGCATATAATTTCTAAGGAATTGAAATGCTTGAATTATTACTGCATACTTGCAATTGTGGTGTGGAGGGTAGTTGGATGGTTGGTAGTGAGCACTTGCTTGAGGGATGTCTCCTGATACCCCTTTTCAGAAAATCTTAGATGCATCTGTGACATCAGAAAGCTGGCTTTGAGATGGTGCTTCTGACAATAACCATTTACATATTTTACAAGGCGGCTGAAGTGAATTGTGGGAGGAAATTCTAGTTCTGAAATAAAATCCTTGTTTGGCATTAGCAGATGATGAGGGTTTAGATCATGAATTCTTGCACTGATAAGACCCAAACAAACTAATACCTCCAGATACATAACACATTCCATGCAAATATGTGCTGCATATTTTTGGACAATTTCCAGAGAAACAAGGTATTGTACAGAATACTGATTTTTAAAAATTAACTTCTTTGATTAAACTGTAGCATAGAATTATTTGGAAGCAAGTGACATGCTATTCCTAAATATTAAGAAAACAAAAATCATGATGACAAAAGAATTATAGAATGTTACATAAGCAAAAAAGAAATTGAAATCCTCAAATATATGACATACCATGGTTTAATCATCAGTTCAAACTGCATCAG